CTGGGTCAACAGTTTTGTTAAAGTCTCCCACTATAATATTCGGTTGGTGTCCCATGGTCATTTATACTCATAAAACAATTATGAAAAAATTGGGATCATTCTGGTTTGGCACATAGAGGTTGGCAAAGATGACTATAGAATTGTCAATTTCAGACTTGAGAATAGTCAATCTGCCCTTACTGTCCGACACCGTGCTCGGAATATTAACATTCAATTTTTTTAAAATCCATTAGTATAGCAACGCCTCTCGCTTTAGAATTAAAACAGCTAAAAATGGAGAGGCCTTCCCAATCTCTGTTCAATTTACAAGCCTCAGGTTCTGTGAGATGTCCCTCATGGACCATGGGAAAGTCAACATTCTCTTCTTTAAGCACTGAGTATATGTATAAGGTTACTGAAACTCTTTATATTCCAGGAGACACATTTAAATATCGGAGCCATCATTGTTAAAATGTACCAGACAAAATATAAAGTTGCTTGGTGAATAAATGAGAAATTTCATTTTTTCCTGGGCAGCATACCGTTCTTACATACCTAAGCAGGAAAAGTTATATAATCCAGGGGTGGGTTATATTCTACAAGACTGGGAAGAAGAGGGACAGAAAAAGGAATTAAATAAGTGAGAAAAACAAAACAGAAAAGATAGTGGAGTGAGAAATGCATATTAGTACCATACAATCTAAAAGGAGAATCTGTTTAAACTGTACAAAAATACACACTTGACACCCAGAGGGGGCAGCCAGATCTGGTGAAACTTGGTGAATCTCACAGCCCACTGGCCCCCAAACATTACAACTATAATGATTACCTATTACCAATAGTAACTTCATACATTAGTTCATAAAGAAACACCATCTAACAAAGCAAAGATAAAATATATGTGTAATTATTAATCAAATGACAGATTTTACATTGATGTGCTTATCCCATGAGTTAAGGCAATGAGAAGTAATGTGATAATAACCCTTTAACCCTCCCACCCCAATGAGAGAGAGAAAAAAGAAAAGAAACTAACATCAATATCAACTAGCACCCATCAACTTGTTTAGAGCACCAGTATCGGATCTCAGTGAGCGTAGACTGTGTAGACTGTCGGTCCTTCATCAGTTAAGAGTGAGTCGATCACAACACGTCTTCCAATCTTCTCTCGCTCTGGCCATCCTTCGCCATGCTTGTCCATATCTCCTTGTTAATAAATCATCCCACCTCTTTGGAGGCCAACCACGTGGCTGTTTCAGTTCTCACGGATACCACTCAGATATAGCTGCAGTCCATCAGTTATCACTGAGTCGGGCCACATGTCCCGCCCACCGCATTTTGCTGAGCCTGCTTTCGACAACATCATCTCAGACTCCAGACTGCTGCCTAATTATTTCATTGGGGATGCGATCGAGGAACGAAATGCCCAAAAATGTTCGTTCCATTGCCCTCTGTGTGACAGACAGTTGATGTTCTTCTGTCTTTGTCAGCGACCATGTTTCGCTGCCATATAGCATCGCTGGAAGCACGGTCGAGTTAAAAAGATTCGCATGAGTTGTTTTGCTGATCTTTTCTTGGAGGATGTCCCTGATGTCGTTGAATGCGCACCATCCAGCTTTTTTTCTGCATGACAGTTCGCCTTTCTGATCGTGGCGCATGTTGACTTCCTGGCCCAAATAAACGTATTTGTCAGCCTCTTGGATCTGCTCTCCTTCAACAGTTATTTGGGTTCTTGGCAGAATATCTGATCTCATATATTTTGTTTTCGACTGGTTCATTTTTAATCCGACTTGACTACTTTTCGCGTTCAGTTCTTTAAGTATTCTCTCAAGCTGGACTGTATTTCAGCTATCAGCACTATATCATCTGCGAACTTGAGATGGTTTAGCCACTCGCTGTTGATATTAATCCCGCCTTTCAGGTCTGCTCATCGAAAGACCAATTCAAGACAGGCTGTGAATAATTTTGGTGAAACTCTATCTCCTTGTTTCACACCTTTCTCGATGGGGATTCGGAGGGGAGTATCAAACAGTGATATATCCGTGCTGCAGCAAGAGTTTGCTTCCTTTAATAATGTGATATATTTTGCGCTGATGCCCTGTTCTGAAAGAGCTTCAAGAACAGCGTTAGTCTCCATGCTATCAAACGCCTACTCGTAGTCCACGAAGGCAATGCACAAAGGGAATTTGTATTCCCTTCAACGCTCTAGTAGTTGGTTTAGAGTGAAGATGTGGTCTATCGTGCTGTAATTTCTTCGAAAACCGGCCTGCTCTCTAGGTTGCTGTTCATCCAGGTTTCGTGACAGTCGATTTGTTATTATTTTGGTGAACAACTTATAGACATGCGAAAGCAGGCAGATCAGGCGATAGTTCTTTAGATTTTCTCGATCGCCTTTATTATGCAGCAAGATGGTATTGGACTCTTTCCAACTGGATGGTATCTTCTGGATTTCCAGGTAATGGCTGAACCTTTGGGTGAGAGCTTTCCAGAGTTCTCAGTGAGAGCTACATAAATTTCATATAGTTGGCTCATTCTCTCTTGCAGGGAGGAGTTTGCAGATTTGTGAAGTATTTTTCTGCCTCCTGAAGGGAACTGAATGATACTGTCTTCTTGCCATTCTTAATATGGAGCGTTGCTGGGATTTAATAAAATGCTTCATAGAATCATAGAAGATTAGGGTTGGAAGAGACCTCAGGAGTTCATCTAATCCAACCCCGTGCTCAAAGCAGGACCAACACCAACTAAATCATCCCAGCCAGGGTGTTGTCAAGCCAGGCCTTAAAAACCTCTAAGGATGGAGATTCCACCACCTCCCAACGTAACCCATTCCAGTGCTTCACCACCCTCCTAGTGAAATAGTGCTTCCTAATTTCCAATCTAGACCTCCCTCACTGCAACTTGAGACCATTGCTCCTTGTTCTGTCATCTGCCACCACTGAGGACAGTCTAGATCCATACTCTTTGGAACCCCCTTCAGGGAGTTGCAGGCTGCTATCAAATCCCCCCTCACTCTTCTCTTCTGCAGACTAAACAAGCCCAGTTCCCTCAGCCTCTCCTCGTAAGTCATGTGCCCCAGCCCCCTAATCATTTTTGTTGCCCTCTGGTGGACTATCTCCAATTTTTCCACATCCATTATGTAGTGGGGGGCCCAAAACTGGATGCAATACTCCAGATGTGGCCTCACCAGTGCCGAATAGTAGGGAACAATCACTTCCCTCGATCTGCTGGCAATGCTCCTATTAATGCAGCCCAATATGCCGTTAGCCTTCTTGGCAAAGAGGGCACACTGATGACTCATATCCAGCTTCTCATCCACTGTAATCCCCAGGTCCTTTTCTGCAGAACTGCTGCTTAGCCAGTTGGTCCCCAGCCTGTAGTGGTGCATGGGATTCTTCCATCCTAAGTGCAGGACTCTGCACTTGTCCTTGTTGAACCTCATCAGATTTCTTTTGGCCCAATCCTCTAATTTGTCTAGGTCACTCTGAACCCTACCCTTACCTCCAGAGTATCTACCTCTCCCCCCAGTTTAGTGTCATCTGCAAACTTGCTGAGGGTGCAATCCATCCCATCATCCAGAACATTAATAAAGATGTTAAACAAAACCGGCCCCAGGACCGACCCCTTCCTGGCCAATTGTTTTGCTTGGTTACCTGTTCATGGCAACCACATCACAGGAATAATCTGGAAAGAGCTGTATTTTAATTGCTGGTTCTCCCCATAACAGCTTCTTCCTCCCCTGCTACTACCACCACCTCAGATTTCTCCAGTATAAGCTCCTGAATGATACACTTCAGGAACTTCACAGTCAGTGCTCTAGACCAACATCTTGGATCTGGCTTGGGGGCAAGGGCCCAGTGTGCCCATTCCATATCAAAGCAAACTCTACTGGCAGATCCAACAACTTAGTTAGAAGATTAGGGACAAATTCAGAATGTTTACCTTTCTCTGTTTCCTCAGGTACACCCACAGTCCTGATTGTACATCATTGCAAGAGGCTTTCTAGATCAATTTGCTTGGTCTTAATAGTCTTGCTATCATTAAAGTTCTTCATAACATGTAATGTGTTTTCTTTGAAATCCTCTTCCACTTCAGAAATTCTGGGTTCTGCTTCACTCATCTGTCTGGATAGAGCTTGTAGCACACTCAGAATCTCACTCATGGTGGTCTGTATGGTCTGTAGATTTAATTTCAACAGAATCTACAGCCACCAGTTGCAGTACAGCCATCAGCTACATTCCATCCGGCTCAGGTGCCATTTTGATTGTAGATGTGGGGTAGGCAGATCTCCTCTGTTTTTTCAGTGCTTTCAGATTCAAAGAGGAAAGTGCAGTGCTAGAGGGCATCTTGGGGGTTTCAGTAGATGGGAACAATATTTCTTGGGGTTGGATGGTGGGTTTTAGGGAACAATGTTTGGGGATTCCCCAGGGACCACTTCAGAGCTCAAGCAACCTACATACACCTTGGTCTCAGTGCCCACTGGTGTCCCCTTTTTAAAAAATAGCTAAATTTCCAAAGGAAACATTCCAAACAAATAGTTGAAATGTTTCTTTCTGAAATGGTGGAAAGAAATGGTTTTAATTTTTGTGTGTGAAGAAAATGCCATTTTTTCAGACAAAACTATTAACTGAATTGGATCTGATTTCATGAATACTTTCTGTGCTCTGAAAAATGCATTTTTGAAAAATGTTCTATTTGTTGAAAAGAAATCAGCCAGCTGTAACCATGAATTCTAGACTTCTTGTAGTCTTTACAAGATAACACTCACTCACCCCCCCATATATATATATATACATGAAGACTATCTTGAACTTCCCATATATAAAGATATGTAGGATCTAGCAATCCAGAACACCAAGAAAAGTGCCTTGTAAAATGTGGAGAGTCAGAACACAGAAGCAGAGGAAACATGTAGCTGTTAGTATTATCCCCACATTACTCACGGATCATGCGATTAACATGATCTATGGGCAACCTCAATGCTACCTCGCTTGCTGGCTAAACCACACAGGTTGACTCCTCTATCAGTCAATCCATCCAAATTTTTGTGAGTGCGGCATAGTTTGGATGACTTTCCTCATGGCTTCCTTGACCTCTCTGTTTCTCAGGCTGTAGATGAGGGGGTTGACCATGGGATTCAGGACGGTGTAGAAGACAGAGAACACTTTGTTCAGGTCTCTCAGTGCAGCAACATCTGGGAGCACATAGACAATTATCAGGGTCCTATAGAAAATTGTCACCACCATGAGGTGAGATGAGCAGATAGAAAATGCTGTTTTCCTCCCGGTGGTGGAAGGGATTCTCAGGATTGTGGTGATGATTGAAATATAGGATGTTACTGTTAATAGAAATGGGGAAAGCTCATCTGTGGAGCAGAGTATGAAACTCACCAATATGACCAGGTTGGTATCATTACAAGAAAGCTTTATCATTGGGGTAAAGTCACAAAAGAAATGGTCAATTTCATTAGGGCCACAGAATATTAATTGTGAAATCAAACATACAAGCAAGGTAATACTAGCCACAAATGCCAATAGCCATGACCCAACTACTAGATGGAGACAGAAGCTGCCTTTCATAATGGTTGAATAATGCAGAGATTTACATATGGCTAAATACCGGTCATAAGACATCACTGCTAGGAGACAACATTCTGCACCTACTAAAGAACCAAATAAATATAATTGCATAATACAGCCACCAACAGAAATGGTTCTATCCCCAGTAAGGAGACTGGCCAGCATCCTGGGCAGGAGGGTGGAGGTGTAGCCATTCTCCAAGCAGGACAAGTTCCCCAGGAAGAAGTACATAGGGGTGTATAGGCACTGATCAGCCACAACTAGCACAACGATGAGGATGTTCCTGGCCATGGTCACCACATAGATCACTAGAAACACCAGGAAGAGAAGAACCTGCAGTTCTGGGACATTTCCAAATCCTAGGAGGATGAACTTGGTGACGGATGTTTGATTTTCGCCTTCTCCTTTCCCCATGAGACGTATCTATTAGGAGGAAGGGAACAAGAAACGGCGGATTTTTTTCCTCTCCTGTTAAACTAGATAAAGCAGCACCCATCTGATTACAGAAAGATGCCAATGGGACTCTGTGAGGGGCATTTTTGGTCTTATAAGGCTGAAACTTTGAGACTAAGGGCACATCTTCACTACCCGCCAGATTGGCGGGTAGCAATCGATCTATTGGGGATCGACTTATCGCATCTAGTGAAGACGCGATAAAATCGATCCCCGATGGCTCTGCCGTCGACTCCGGAAATCCACCGCAGCAAGAAGCGGAAGCAGAGTCGACGGCAGCGCGGCAGCGGTCGACTCGCCGCCGTCCTCACAGCCAGGTAGGTCGACCTAAAATACGCAACTTCAGCTACGCTATTCATGTAGCTGAACTTGCAAATCTTAGGTCGACGCCCCCCCCCCCCCGTAGTGTAGACCTAGCCTCAGTAAGGAACTCAGGTATTGTCACACAAGAGCAATCCATGTAATTTGGGGTCTTTATTAGTGGGCAGTACCAGAGGCTGCAGAGGAGCCATATGCTCTCATTATGGATATTGATGCGACAGCATCTCCATGGGGAATTGTTTGGCCAGGCAATTAATTGTTGGCCTGTGTCAGGTAGTATGAAAGCTTGCATCTCTTGTACATTTTTAACCGAGCTAGTGCAACTACACATATACATTCATTCTCAGGTCCTTGTGTGGCCCCCAAAACCAGAGTATCTGAGCACCTCATGTTCTATAATATACTTACCCTCACATCACCTCCTGGGAAGTAGGAAAATGCCATTATGCCTGTTTTACGCAGAGGGCCAGATGTTCAAAGGCATGTAGGCACTAAAGAGGCAGGTAGGTGCTTAGTGGGATTTTCAAAAGCCTTGGAGCAGGTTAGGTACCAGAATTCCATTGAGGTTCTCAAAGTTCCCTCCCCACTCTGAACTTTAGGGTACAGATGTGGGGACCTGCATGAAACATACTGCTAAGGGTAGCATAAAATCCCTCTTTACCTGTAAAGGGTTAAGAAGCTCAGGTAACCTAGCTGACACCTGACCAAAAGGACCAATAAGGGGACAAGATACTTTCAAACCTGGGGAGGGGGGAAGGCTTTGTCCGTCTGTTCTGTGTGGCTTTTGCCGGAGACAGACAGACAAAGCCTTCCCCCCCACCCAGATTTGAAAGTATCTTGTCCCTTTATTGGTCCTTTTGGTCAGATGTCAGCTAGGTTATGATGCCCCCCAAATCATAGACAGTGCTGGACAGCCTGCTCCACACTGGCTGTGATTTCTTCCTGGAACTCTAGGAGAAAACATAATTAATAAGACACATGCACCTTTAGATATACTCCTGATTATGTAAAAATGAATAATATTTTCCACATTTCAAGGATGATTTTAACCAGTTGATTCTGGGAAACTTTCACGGGAGAGTGCATCAGCCATTTTGTTAGAAGCTCCCGAAATGTGTTGTATTTCAAAATCAAAATCTTGGAGAGCTAAACTCCACCGAAGAAGTTTTTTGCTATTGTCCTTGATGGTGTGAAGCTACTTCAGCGCAGCATGGTCTGTTTGTAGTTGGAAACGCCGTCCCCAGACATATGGGTGTAGCTTTTCCAGCATGTACACAATGGCGTAGCATTCCTTTTCACTGATTGACCAGTGACTTTCCCTCTCAGACAGTTTCTTGCTGAGAAACACGACAGGATGGAATTCTTGATCTGGTCTTTCCTGCATTAGAACTGCTCCCACACCACGCTTGGATGCATCTGTGGTTACTAGGAATGGTTTGTCAAAGTCTGGGGCCGTTAGCGCAGGGTCAGACATGAGTGTCGCTTTAAGCTGGTTAAAAGCCTTCTGACACTCTTCAGTCCACTGAACTGCATTTGGCTGTTTCTTTTTGGTTAGGTCTGTCAGTGGGGCAGCGATTTGGCTGTAGTGTGGTACAAATTGCTTGTAATATCCAGCCAAGCCTAAGAAGGATTGGACCTGTTTCTTTGACTTTGGGACAGGCTACTTTTGGGGGTTGATAGTTCCTTGACCCACCTGGTGTCCAAGGTAAGTCACTCTGTTTAGGCCTATTTGACACTTCTTAGCCTTAACAGTTAGTCCGCCCTCCCTTATGCTCTTGAAGACTTTTTATAGATGCTCCAAGTGTTCTGCCCATGAATCAGAAAAAATGGCCACATCGTCAAGGTAGGCGACTGTATATTCTCCCAATCCCACTAGGAGGCCATCTACAAGTTTTTGGAAGGTTGCGGGTGCATTTCGCAGCCCAAAAGGGAGCACATTAAATTCATACATCCCTGCATGGGTGATGAAGGCTGACCTTTCCTTGGTGGATTCATCTAGCAGTACTTGCCAGTACCCCTTGGTTAAGTCTAAGGTAGAGATGAACTGGGCATGTCCCAGTTTCTCCAATAGTTCGTCTGTGTGTGGCATTGGATAATTGTCTGGGCGAGTTACAGCATTTAGCTTATGGTAATCCACGCAAAAATGTATCTCCCCATCTGGTTTGGGAACTAGAACCACTGGAGATGCCCATGCACTGTTAGGGGGCGGATTACACCCATCTGTAGCATGTCCTGGATCTCCCCTTCTATAGCAGTTTTAGCTTGAGGAGACACCCGTTAAGGTTGGGCTCTAATTGGGTGAGCATTACCTGTGTCAATGGAGTGGTGTGCCCGTTCGGTCCGTCCTGGGGTGGCTGAGAACATTGGCGCGTAGCTAGTGCACAGCTCCTTGATCTGCTGTCGCTGCATACGCCCAAGGGTCATGGAGAAGTTCACCTCTTCCACACCACCATCACTTTTTCCTTCATAGTAGACACCTTCAGGCCACTCAGTGTCATCTCCTCCCTGGGCTGTAAACTGACAAACCTTTAATTCCCTGGAATAAAGGGCTTTAGAGAATTAATATGGTACACCTTAGGTTTTAGGTTTGAGGTGGGGGATGCTATGAGATAATGAATAGCTCCCAGGCGCTCTTGGATCGTGAATGGTCCTTCCCACAACGCTTCCATCTTATGGGCCTGGAGTGCCTTCAAGACCATGACCTGGTCCCCTACTTTGAAGGAACGCTGTCTGGCATGTTTATCATACCAGGCTTTTTGCTCTTCCTGAGCATCTTTTAGGTTTACTCTAGCAAGGGCTAAACAGGTTCAGAGGTTGTTTTGTAGGTTGTTTACAAAGTTCAGAATGTTAGTTCCTGGAGAAGGTGTAAACTCCTCCCATTGCTGCTTCACCAACTGTAATGGCCCCTTAACCTCATGGCCATACACAAGTTCAAATGGTGAAAACCCTAAACTGGGATGTGGTACAGCTCTGTAGGCAAAGAGCAACTGCTGCAACACTAGGTCCCAATCACTGGAGTGCTCATTTAAAAATTTACGTATCATGGCCCCCAAAGTTCCATTAAACTTCTCCACCATGCCATTTGTTTGATGGTGGTAAGGGGTGGCAACCAAGTGGTTCACCCCATGAGCTTCCCAAAGGCTTTCCATGGTTTCTGCCAGGAAATTAGTTCCCGAATCTGTAAGGATTTCGGAGGGCCAACCTACCCTGGCAAAAATGTCTGTTAACGCCTGGCACACACTTTTAGTCCTGGTGTTGCTTAGAGCTACTGCTTCCGGCCATCGGGTGGCAAAATCCATGAAAGTCAGTAAGTACTGCTTTCCTCTGGGTTTCTTTTTCGGAAAAGGACCCAGAATATTCACAGCTACTCGGTGAAATGGAACCTCAGTTATGAGGAGTGGCTGGAGAGGGGCTTTGACCTGGTCTTGGGGTTTTCCCACTCTTTGGCACACCTCACAAGAGAACAAGGTAGAAACATCCTTGCCCATTCCCTCCCAGTGGAATGACTTCCCCCAAAGGTCTTTGGTCCTGTTCACCCCAGCATGGCCACTAGGATGATCATTGGCTAAGCTCAAGAGCTTTACCCGGTACTTAGTTGGAACTACCAACTGTCCTTGAGGATGCCAGCCTTACTGGTGTCCACCAGAAAGAGTCTCCTTGTATAAAAGTCCTTTTTCTACAACAAACTGGGATCGGTTAGAAGAGCTGAGAGGCGGTGGGTTGCTCCGTGCCGCCGCCCAAGCTTCCTGGAGGCTGTCATCTGCTTCCTGCTTGGCCTGGAACTGTTCCCTTGATGCTGGAGACATCAGTTCCTCATTGGATTGTGGACTTCAGCTTGGTCCCTCTGGTAGTGATTTAGGTGATGGGGCTGTTTCCGTGGACTGTGAACCGCTCTCCGCTGGTGCACTATGTTGTATTTCAGGCTCCTGCTGAGTCTCTTGCATAGGTTTATCTGCTGCTGCCAGTGCGGGTTTAGAGGTGCCCTCTGGCATTGGAGCTGTAGACAGGGTTGCAAGCGCTGGATTCAGTGCGGGCAATGGTTCTGGTGCTGGTTGCTCCACCAGTTCCGGTTCTGGGACTGGATCTGTCTGGGTCTCTGGGACTGGATCCACTACTGCTGCCGCAGACATTGGCATGGAGTCCGGTTCCACCACCTCAGTCTGAGTCTCTGGTAACACAGACTGGGCCCTTGTAGAAGGCTCAGGGATGGAGCTAGGTGTGACTACTTGCTTAGCCTGGCTGTGGGTGACCATTCCCACCCTCTTGGCTAGCTTCACATGACTGGCCAAGTGTTCTCCAAGCAGCATGGGAATGGGATAGTCATCATAGACTGCAAAAGTCCCCAATCCTGACCAGCCCTTGTACTGGACAGGCAACTTGGCTGTAGGCAAGTCAAAGGAGTTTGCCATGAAGGGTTGAATCATCACCGGGGCCTCTGGGTAGATTAAGCTGGGGTCCACTAAGGATTGGTGGATAGCCGACACTTGTGCTCCAGTGTCCCTCCACGCTGTAACCTTCTTCCCGCCCACACTCACAGTTTCCTTTCACTGTGAGGGTATCTGGGAGGCATCTGGGCCTGAGGATCTTTGGTGTGACCCTGGTGCTATGAACTGTAATCTGTTGGTGTTCTTGGGGCAGCTGGCCTTTACATGCCCCAGCTCTTTACATTTAAAACATCACCCAGCTGACTGGTCACTGGGGCGAGACGGGTTGCTGGAGAATGGTGTGGTGGAATGCTAAGGTGTCTGGGGTTTTCCTTGGAGTGTAGTTGGGGCCTTGGGCTGCCCCCGGTGGTAGGGTGTGGTCTGAAGGCGTCCTTTCTGGTCTCCGCTCAAACTGCGACCAGGGTTGTTCCTCTCTGCTCCCTCCACCCGTTCTGTTCCAATTTGCCACACCTCTCTGGCAGTCTGGGACTGCTCGTATTGATCAGCATAACAAGCAAGACTTTCTGCTGAGTCCATTTTCTTATCCCATAATCATTGTTTTATATTATCATTGGTCATATTCAGGAATTGTTCCTGAGTAATCAAATCACACATTCCTTTAAAGCTAGTTACACCCCTGCCGTTGACCATTTATCTAACAGATCCTTCATCTGGTTTCAATAAGCCACATTATTTAGTCCAGGCCCTCTTTTAAGGGCTCTAAATTTTACTCTGTAAGTTTCGGGTGTAACTTGAAATTGTTTCAAAACCAAATCCTTAAATTTACCATAGTCAGAAGCCTCTTCAATAGGCATCTTGTTGAATATGTCCAGAGGTCTTCCAGTCAATTTTGCTACCAATGTGGTCATCTTGTGATCGTCAGGAATTGCATGGAGTGTGCACAGTCTCTCAAAGGTGATGAAATATTCAGCAATATCACTGGATCCATCATACTGTGGACATAGTCTCTCCCATTTGTGGATTTTTTGGGAAGGATTGTTAGGGTTATCCGGTGGACTCAGCTTAGCTCTTTCCAGATCTAAGCACTTCAGCTCTAACTCCATCTCCAAGCGTTTTGCCTCTGCCTCCAAGCGGAACTTCTCCGCCTCCGCTTCCATCTCCAAGCGGTGCTTCTCCGCCTCTGCTTCCAAGCGTTTCACCTCCATCTCCACCTCCAAGCGATTTAAAGCTATCTGTCTGTCATATTCTTTTTGTCTCTCTTCAGCTTCAAATTTAGCTAATTCTAGTTTCTGTTGGACATTGTGTTTCGCCATCCTAGCTCCTGCTTGCCTAGCTTACCTGAGAGTAAGAAAGAAGAAAAAAACTGCTTGTAAATTCCCTTGTAGGAAGTTAACTACCCTGCCCTCAGGCAGAGACAAAAATCTCCAGCTGCTCACAGCTTAAAAAAAAATCCCTTTGTTAGAAGAACCTGATACCTTTGTCTCCAGGCAAAGAGAGATAAGATCTCTGTCTGCCCTCAGCTCCTGCTTTCCCCAAGCAGCTAAAAGAAAAAGAAAAATTCCTAAGGTTTGTGCTTCTGATTCAAAATGATCTCTGGTTCAAAATGATCCACCGCTGCCACCATGTCAGGGTTCCCTCCCCACTCTGAACTTTAGGGTACAGATGTGGGGACCTGCATGAAAGACCCCCTAAGCTTATTTCTACCAGCTTAGGTTAAAACTTCCCCAAGGCACAAATTCTCCCTTGTACCTTGGATTAGGTAAACACTGTCACCACCAAGTGATTCAAACAAAGAATCAGGGAAAGGACCACTTGGAGTCCTGTTTCCCCAAAATATCCCCCCAAGCCCTTCACTCCCTTTCCTGGGCAGGCTTGAGAATAAACAAGATGAGCACAGACCAGCCTTGGGTTTTTAGGATACTAAAAAACCCAATCAGATTCTTTAAAAAAACAGAACTTTATTAGAAAGAAAAAAGGTGAAAGGAGTACATCTGTAAGATTAGAATGGAAGATAATCTCACAGGCAATCAGATTCAAAACACAGAGGGTTTCCCTCTAGGCAAAACCTTAAAGTTACAAAAAGAAAAAAACAGGGATACACATTCCCCCCAGCACAGAGAAATTAACAAGCCAAAACAAAAGATAATGTAACACATTTCCTTGCTAAATACTTACTAACTCTATAGGAGTTGGATTGCTTGCTTCTTTGATCTGTCTCCGGCAAAAGCCACACAGAACAGACAGACAAAGCCTCCCGCCCCAGATTTGAAAGTATCTTGTCCCCTTATTGGTCCTTGTGGTCAGGTGTCAGCTAGGTTACCTGAGCTTCTTAACCCTTTACAGGTAAAGAGGGATTTTATGCTACCCTTAGCTGTATGTTTATGACAGAGGTCAATGGGAGTTAGGTGCCTAAACAGCTTCGATGATTTTGAAATTCACATTAGTTGCGTATCTGCCACGTTAGGTGGCTAAACACCTTTGAAACTGGCCATAAGTGAGTTGTCAAGGTCACGCAGGCGTTTGTAATGGAGCAGGAAAATTATCCCCGGTCCCCCAAGATCACACAGGAATTACTCTGAGGGAGTTCTATGGCCTAGAGCAGTGGTTTTCATTTGCAGACCCCTAAATAATTTCAAATGGAGGTGTGAACCCCTTTGGAAATCTTAAACATAGTCTGCGGACCCCCGGGGGTATGCAGACCACAGGTTAAAAACCACTGGCTTAGATGATCAGACTAGCTGATCACAGTGGTCCCTTCTGGCCTTGGCATTTATGAATTGAAGTTCTTAGTACCCTGGACAAATCTATCTATCTATCTATCTATCTATCTATCTAATTTATTCTTCTAAATTCTTCATTCATATACTGAGATAATGAGTTCAATGAGTAAAATATACATTGCGGTGAGAAAAATGTATTTCATGTATTAATTTTAAACATGATGCCTGGTAAATTCATTGTGTCATTCTTGATTGTTGTATGAACAGATCTGGACAGGAGCACTCTAGTATGTTTCTCTGCCTCATTCATTATTGATTAACGTCTGTAACGATCCTCTCATTTGACTCCTATCTGGCTAAACTGGAATTTTCAGACACATCCAAAGGAACCAGGCAGTATTGAAAATCAAAGGGATTTGGGCACCTAACTCTCTTTGGCTCCTTTGAAAATCCCAGCCTCAGAGCTCAGTTCCATGGAGTCATTCCATGCAGCTAATTGTTTTCTTATCCTCTGATCCATTCAACAGATTGGGAAAGAAGAACCACCCTCAGCACTGGTGGTGAGAAGCCATCCGAGAATAATGCTTTCTACCATCTCTGGTTGCCTAGAAGGCTCCCTCCTATCCTGGCTGACCATCACCTGGCCTCACTCATTGCACCATTGGCACCTCTCAGCTGGACTACAGCAATGCGACACCCCTGGGCATGAAACCTTCTGCACTTAGAAAGCTCCAACTAGCACAAAACACTGCCATGTGTTTCCTCAGCAACACAGGCTAACAGGAGCACCTCACACCTCCTGCGCTCTCTACACTGGCTTCCCAAAGAACTGCAACTCAAGTTCAAGGGCTCAGTCCTTAGCTACAAAGCACTCCGTGGACTGGGCCCTGGACACTTAAAAAACTGTCTAACGCTCTGGGACAAAGATTGCGGTCGATCTGTGTGCAAGTGCTTCTTCACACAATCCCCAATCGACCTGTGAAACTCATTGCGAGGGCATGTTGCAAAGACCAAAATTATAACGGGGTTCAAAAAAGAATGAGATAAGTTCATGGAGGCTAGGTCCATCCATTAACCAAGATGGTCAGGGACGCAACCTGTGCTCTTGGTGTCCCAAAGCATCAGTTTGCCAGAAGCTGGGGCCGGACAACAGGCGATGGATCATTGGATAATTGCCCTGTTCTGGTCATTCCCTTGGAAGCACCTGGCATTGGCCACTGTCAGAAGACAGGATACTGGGCTAGATGGACCATTGGTCTGACCCAGCCTAGTCATTCTTATGAGACAGAAGCTTCTCCAGGTGTGTGGAATGAACTCACCCAGGAACAAAGGCCCATCACAAACCTCACCACTGTCTCTTTAAGTGCAAGGTGCACATCTTTGGCCTGTCTTCTCCAGCACAAACACACAGCAGGAGTGGCCTTCACTAATAAAACCAAAACCAACCCAATAAAAAACAAACAAACCCCGAGACACTGCCCTGCACATGCTTCTCCCATCGGGCAGAGGGGGAGAGAACAAACAGCCCATGACAATGTGCAGTCAGGTAATGCACGACTGCAAAGCACGCAGATGCTACGGTGATGAGCGCAAAACAGAATAGAATAGGAGCCGCACAGGAGCCTGAATGGCAGAGCGGGGTGTGTGTGCCGTCACCTCATGCTAGCAGCTGTGATGGGGGGCTGATAGTGGTCATCTGCACAACCGGGAAACTCACTCTGCCCCATTGCACAAGGGATACCCCAGGCAGACACGCACACACAGATTCCTCACACTCTTATGAACCCCGTGACTCACCTACAAACCCTCAGACACATTCTGCCCCTATTTGCACCCTGCAGATGTGTGGGTGTCTGTTGGCGTGGAACTGCAGGCGAAACTTGGGCAATATAGAGCAGCTGTAACTCGGTCCTCCCAGCCGGTGTCTTGGCTCAGCCATGTTAGGAGCCATGAGGAGACGTCTCAGAGGTAGAATAAGAAGTGGGACGGGGCAGAAAGTCAGGCACACGGGGTGCTGCCCTGTTCCCTGATCTGAAAGGCTTTCCACTCATCATCACCCCAGTACAGGGTAGGAAGAGCCCTGAGCTCTCCCAGAGTTTGGCCCAGGAGACTACCCAGACCTTACAGGACTGGGCCTAGGAGAGGATGGAAAATCTCCACTCCTCCATTTGGAAAAGTCTGGGGAGGAGTGTGTGAAAGAGCTGGGCCAGGAGAGATGAAGGCAGAGGAGATGTCAGAAGGAGACACCAGGCCTGTCTTAGGGGAGGGGAAGGGAAAGCAAAAGTCAGGACAATTCTGCCCACAGCTTAACCCAGAAGCCCAGTTGATGTGTCTGTGTCTGTCAGGGACAGGGGGGGACTGAAGGGACATTGGTGCTGTGTCCCTGCTGCAGTACAGCAGCCGTGATGCTGTCCCCCCCAGCCACACTCTGCAGTGTCTCTGATCAGTGGCATTAGGAGCTGTGATGAGACGTGTCAAGGAGGGAACAGGCAGTGCCACAGAGCAGTAAGTGCACGGTTACAGGGCGGGCCTGAGAGACCTCTCCGGCCGCTCTGCTTCCCAACATGCCAACTTTTCCTTCCTAACTGAACCCCCCAGCACTTGTCCCAGGAATCATAGAATCGTAGAATCATAGAAGATTAGGGTTGGAGGAGACCTCAGGAGGTCAATCGGAATGATCCGATTTACCTTTAATCCTCCTCATCCAGTGGCAACCTCTCCCTCAAGGGCACCCGCTGTCCTCACTGTCTCACGCACTCTCCTTTGCTCAGCAAAGCACCTCATTTTTGCTGTTGGCCTGGGCTGCTCTTGCTTATGCGGATTACACAGAACCCCAGCGTTTCCTGGGGTGGATTCTTACAGGGTTGATAGGGGAACTCAGCCTCACACAGTCTCCCGCTGCTAGACTGGTCTCCTCCCAAACTGCTGATTGTGATCACTTTTAGATTGACCTGCTGGGGGAATTAACCCCATGTGCTTGTTAAAACAGTGTGAATGCGGAGGGCAATCCCCATGGGAAACCTCCTTCTTTGTCATGCCCTGAGTGTGTCAGGAGCCTGAGTGAATGAGAAATACACATCCATTGCTTTACTTACAGAGTGCGGAACAATTTTATTCCATACATTTTCAAAGTACTCATTACATGTCCGTGAATGCCAATTTCACAGATGGGGAAACTGAGGCCTGGGAAGGGGAAGTGACTTGCCCAAGGTCAGCCATCAGATCAGTGGTGGAGACAGCAACAGAAGACAGGTCTCCTGGTCTCAAGGCATGTGGGAGATCCACTGGTCAATGCAGCATGTTAACTTTTCTTGTTAGGTGATATGAAGGGAAATGAGACAAACAGACAGATATTTTAGAAATGAAATATGCAAGATACCAAGACACAAAGCTGAGAGGTGAAGTCAATGTATAAGGGGCCTGACTGTCCTTTACACAAAGGCCTCTTTATTCCATAAATAGGATTTGCTCCCACTTTAGTGTCCCTTGACCTCAGTATAAATGAGAATGTCGCCCAAGGTCATGTTCAACCACTAGTTGCATACATTTTGATATGTGCCTTCAATATATCCTAGCTGATAGATGGCCATAGA